CTCCAACATTGCATGGATGCCCCATGACCTGCCAGTCATGCTGGTGTGACTGCTATTACAGGTATTCTAACCCAATCGTTAGTAACAGTTGCTGTAATACGAATATTACATAGGTGATTATCTAAATTTTCATCGTTAATGGGATAAGCTCTGATTTTTTCTAGTTCTACAGATTTATATAATCATAAGAACTTATCTTGTGTTTATACTACTTAATACCAATTTGCATTTCTTTATATAACTTTAATATTGCACAGATGTCTTATAAGCTATTAGCCATAGCGATGCAATCATAGTTACAAGTATTTAATCCTAACTGATTAACAAAATACCATTGTTGTAATACCACTTACTTTTTATAATATGATATTATATAAGTAGTTTTCTAAATTTTGTTATCAGTAGGTTTTGAACTTCCATCTACTACTTGGAAGATTGACAACTTATCTATTTTACTAAGTTGCTACACTTAAAAATAAAAATTATAATTTATAATTAGATACATTTTTTAAAAAATTTAAAGATAACTAAAAAAATACATTGTATAATAAGAAGAAGTAATACAAAAAGAAGTATATTTATAAAGTATATAATAAATAAATTTTTAATTTTAAAGAAACTTAATAAAAAAATCAAATATATATAATAACAAAATATTAAATATATTAAAACAAAGTAAAAAAAAACACAAACACACTTAGCATTATATAAAAAACAAAAAAATCTTAAAAAAGAATTTAAAAAATAATTATTACAACAACTTGAAAAAGACTAAAAAAAAAAAATACCTAAATCTTTTTATATATGATGTATATGTTACTTTTTAGAAAAGTAGAAGCAAAAGAAATAGAAATAAAAAAAATACTAATTATAAGTTTAATTTTTAAAAAAATACAAAACAAATTAAAAATAAATCTAAACAAAAAAAAACAAATTAGTAAAAAATAAAAAGAAAAAAAAAGACAAAAGAAAAATAAATTAAAAAAAAACCAAGACAATATTAGAGCTTGTTATAGAAAGAAAAAAACCTTTTCATTACAGATTTAAATAGTCAGACAAGCAACTTACTTTTGCTTAAAATAATATGACAAGTTATACTTAGATACCATTAGAATGATTAGATGATGCTAAACTTAGTTATTAGGTACATCTATATAATTGTAAAAGTAATTTTAAGAACCTTAATAAAATACTAATATGACTGCTTAAGAAGAAAAAAAAAGAGATCAATTAAGCTTAATTCAGATCAAGATTCAAATAATCCTCATGTTTGCTATTTCGGTATTTAATAAAAAATTATTAGCAAGATGAATCAGCAAAAAAATATATATAAGATAGATATGCCTAATTTGGTGCAATGTCTAATTTAACACACTAATATCTTATAAACTGTTGATTGGAATTACATGATTTTGATACCATTCAATTTATTTCATTGAGATGAATTAAATGGTACCAAAATCATGTAATTCTGATTAATAGTTCATGAGATATTATCATTTAACTAAAATCAAATACATAACAATTTTTAAAACATGTTATGCACAGCTTATTTTAGTTAAATGATGATATCTTGTGAACCATCAATCAGAATTGTATGATTTTGGTACTGTTATATTTGTCTCATTGAAACGAATCGAACGATACCAAAATTTTGCGATTCTGATTAACGGTTCGTGAGATATTGTTAGTGTAGTGTTGGGGCGCCGAATTAGACATTGCGCCAAATTAAGAACGTATTTTTTAATAATCAATAAATATCTTGTAATCTAGTGATCGGAATCGGACGATTTTGGTACCATTCAATTCGTCTCGATGAGACGAATCGAATGATACCAAAATTGTCCAATTCTGATCAATTTACCACATGATATAAATCGTAATACTTACCTGTGCAGAATTAGGCATATCTACCTTATATTATGCTTCAATATTTAAGTTATAATATACTGTATATACTGTATAGAGTATATACATACTATATATTGTAGCATAAATAAAATAGTAAAAAAAAAAAATTCAAATAACCAAGTTATTTACTGTTACCACAATATGATAACTAGATAAAGTAAAAAGTGCAAGATTCTTAAGAATAATCAGAAATATTATTGTAAAATTTGAAATATGCTGCAATATACAGATACGTATAGACTACATACAGCTCAATATAGTTCGATAGATCAATAACAAAATTATTCGTGATAATTTGTAAGCAAATTTGCCTGCAAAACGATCTAAGGTAATACTGATATATGAACTAATTCGTGTATTTTATCATATTGTAATTAATGATTCGTCAAGTACTTTGAAATTCCGACTGTTATAAATGACAAATTTATTATGAATCATCACCAGACCTTATTTAAGTGTGAGAACGCCGAAAGGTGCAAATCAAAGAGACTATTCAAATTAATCAAACTTCTAATATAAAATTCACTCATATACGTCACTATCTGAAATATAACCATCAATTTTTTAAAATATCATCTTTTAATCTAACGACTGAATCATAATTATGAAAGTATGATCAAGGCCAAGATAGCACTATATACGGCTTAGGTGAAACAAATAATTTATATTTGGTTGACTAGCGAATTCTCACTGATTCCATTCTATGAATAATTCAATCTTTTCTGTACAGCTATGGAAGATATCACGGAAACTACTAAAGAGGTGACTCAAGAATTGAAACCTGAACAAGTATTTTTTTAACAACATATTCTGTTCATATACAACGCAATTAATCCAAATATAATCTAATACTTTTATTTTTTTCTTTTATTTCTTCACCTAGGAGCCTCCACCAAAAAAACGTAAACGCACGCCTGAAAAATCACCTCAAGAAATAAAACCCATGTCTACTCGCAAAAGAATTTCAAGTTCACAATCGACAACATCTGGAAGCAAAACAACATCAGGTGAACCTTGGACCACGCAAGAAGATAGACTCCTAATTGATAGTATGTTGGGCTTGATTCCTTCAATTCCTTGGGCAGAATTCGCAGAAAAGTTTCCAAATAGAAACGTTAAAAGTTTACAGAATCGTTGGCAGTCTTTAAAAAAAAAGCTGCATGGATGAAAAGAAAAATGAGTGAACAGTTAGTTTGAGAATTATCATGATTACTAGAATTAGAATATTTCATTACTAAAGCCTTAATGTTTTCCTGTTTTGCAACAAATGCATATCCATTTGCTTTTTTATATAATTAAATCTTAAATAATTGATTTTTTCTAATGTACAAATTTCTAATCATGTTCGATTACATGATGTATACTTCTTACATAGCGCACCTCATGTATATGAGATTTATAACATAGTATTTGAGTATTAACTTGAAACGTATCATTTCCGGAGTATTCAAAAACTAGCTCGCTCGTTATAACATATGACCTATTTAACTATCGTAGTGAATAATTCAAAGTTTATTGAGATAGCAGTAAATAACATAATCTACAAGCAATCTGAGTTCTTAAAAAGAATACCATTCATTACTGTTATAATGTGACTTAAGAATTTGGGTAATTATTTATGAACCCGGACCAATTTTATATATGACGTAGTTTTGGATTAAAAAACAATCACCCATTTAAAAATTAGACATTATACGAACAAGGTATATAACCAAGGCAAATAAACTTACGTATTTTTCCATTCTTGATTCAAGTCGTTCTTATTATTTTTCTTTATTATCAAAAGAAACTTGAAATATTGGCTGCATGGCCGGAAATAAATCACCATTCGACACTTGCTCTAGGTCGTATGACATACTATATACTATCAAATAGAGTTTTTTAGTCTATTATTAAAAAGGTATTTTTTGCTCTGTATAACTATCCCTTAAATTATAGGGCAAAACAGACAAATTTGGTTGTATTTTTCAACTTTTTTTGGTTTTGATTCACTTTTTTAAAGTACTAAAATATTTAAATAAAATTTGGTATGATAATATTTAAAAATAAGGATTACTTTTTTATAATATTTTCATTTTTAACTTCTAAGAAAAAAATTAGGTTATTTATAAATCAAAATATACAATTTCAAAAAAAATTTTTAATAAAAAAAAATTTTAGTTTATTTATAATAATTTTTTTTAGCTTTTTATTAAATAGGATGTAATTCAATTTTATTTTTATTAATAGAATTGATAATGTGCTTAAACTAGAAAATTTAAATGCTATTTTCTTGTATGCTTAATTTAGAGAATTTTTAAAATTGAAATTTTAAAATCAACTATTATGATTTTTTTGTATATTAATCATATAATAATTATAATAAAATATATCAAATATATAAGATTTTTTTTACCAGTATACAACTTCTATTCTTGTTGCAGGTTTTAATCTATTGGTATAATAAGATACTTGGTTCAAGGCATTTATATTAGTAATTTGATCTACAATATTTTGAAATTATGTAGTATAATCTCTTACATTTTCGGTTTGTTTAAGCTTTTTAAGCTGTTAATAAAGATACTGTTGATAGTTAGAAGGTTGAAAATCATTCTTAATTATATTTACAAACTTATCACAATTATTAAAAAGAAGTTAATTATTATTTAAGACAACTCTATTTAAATACCAATGTAAGACTACATTTTTAAAACCTGTAATAACATAGTGAACTTGAATTAGTTTGTTTATAAGTTCTTAAGTCAAACAAATTGATTGTATTTATAATAACCAAGCTACTATATTTTCAGTAGGTTCTTCTTTAAATGTAGAAATTTTTATATTAATTTTTGTAAAAGCAAGGTTATTTTCATCTTGTTGTTATACTTGAGGTTGTTGTTAGGTCTGAGGTTGACCAAGTTGTTATGTTAAAGCAGTTTGTGCATTAACAAGTTAACCAATAGCACTTATCAAGTCTTGTAAAGTAGTTATTTTGTTTAGAAAAATTACAAGAAAGAAGCTAATAAAATCTAAATAAAACAAGTTTAAAACAAAATAAAAAGATAGTATAGTATAAAAAATAAAGTATGTATAGTATGATAAAAAGCTTTCTATTACTACTAAGTTATAAAGGTTTTGTTATTTGAAGTATTTTTATATATAATTTTACTAATAAAAATACTTAAATTTTATTAAAAAATCTTGTTAGATTTAAATAATTTTTAAAAATACATAAATTTAAAAATAAAAGTATATTTAAAATAGAAACTTAGTTTGCTTATAAGGCTTACTAATCTATCTAGAAGATTCTGGCATATAATTAATAATAAATA